ATAAACCGGTTCTCAGACTAGAAGCAGATCATGACAGCTAAAAAAAGATAAAAACCCTTTAGTTAAAAGCATGAGTAAAAGGACATGTTTTGGCCTGGCATCAAAGGGAAAGTAAGGTACCTACCACTTGAGTCTCAAAAGGGAGGACAGCCAAAGGCAAGGCACCACCATCAAAAGGCCCTATCTCTGGTCACCACCCACCTCACCTCAACAAATGATAGTACAGAGAGAAGGGTTTGAGAAGAGGATCTTCAGAACAAGTTGAAATTATACAGGACGAGTTGAAATGATACTATGGCCCCGGTCACACGGGAGGTTTTGCCCCGCAAGAGGGATGGATCGGGGGCGCATCACACATCTGGGAAGCAGAGCACACCTGTCCCCAATCCCTCCTTTCCGGGGGGAAATGCACAGCAAAAAAGAACCTAGAAAAGAGCACTACCTACCTGAAACTCCGCAGCAAGGGCGGCCGTGGGATCGCCGGCGCGGCATCTTCCGTAGCATTCGAGGCTCCAGGCCAAACTGCGCATGCGCACACATGCACAGCCAGCTGCCTCACTCGTCGTTCCGTGGCTTCCCCCCCCCCGCATCTGATCGTGCCAGGGAGCAACTGAGCGGCGGCTCGGGGGATCTGTGTGATCCCACCGCTGCTCGTCTATTTTGATGCGGATTAAAAAAGCCGCGCTTTGGCCATGCCTCCCCCCCCCCGTGTGACTGGGGCCTATGTATAAGTAAGGAGTTGGAAGCAGTTGAGCCCCATGGCTCCTTTCTAATCTTCAGATCATCATTTGGAAGACCCAAGCCTGTGTTTGCTCATACCACTCTCAAACCAGCAGATTTTGAGCCTAGAGATAAATGACCTAGGTTTTTAGAAGAGATGTAAAAGTGATTGTTTCCCTATCTTTAAAAAAACCTGCAAGATGTTTTTCTTGCCCATTTTCAAATGCTAATAATTATGTAGGTAGACTACATCTACCATCTCTTGAACAAACAGCAAGGAATCATGAAAATGAGACAAAGGTTTATTTTTAACCAGTGTGTGGGATCACTTTTCCTTTTAAAGAATACCCCGGAGCTGTCTCAACTGCTTATCTTTTGGCAGCTGCTTAGAATTCTAAACCAACAAGCATACTATGAAATCCAGACTTTAGCTGATATGTTTTCCTTTCCCAGGCTCCTTGGCCAATGAGGAGAAATAACTTCAGCAAAAGAACTATAGATTACTCTATCATGTGTCGTTTTATCAGCCTTTTATATTACAGCTACCTTCTGTAATAACACATACAACAGAGCATGCTACAGATGGTAAGAAAATACACATGAAAAAGCTACAGCTGTGGGTTTCCCTGTGGTACAATTCTAAGATAAAAAAATAAAAATGAAATAAAAGCACATGCAAGTATAAGCTGATTTTATGGAAAACTTGAAACAGACATTCAAATTATCTGGAGTCCTCACCAAGATCTTAAACCTCCTTATTTATACTACAATACCCCTTGAGGAGGGAGAAAACAGGATAAAAAATGCCTTTGATAATTATACTATCCCTTTGCTTTCTGTTTATCATCCTCTGTTTTTCTAAATGCATTTTAAGACATCTATAACCTTTCAGTCTATTGATAGCTCAGGCTGCTAACAAAAACAAAGCTCCCATAAGATATGACTTAGCCAAAACAATTAGATACAGACATATATAATCTGAATACCATAGCAGCAACAGAATCACAACGAGCCATTAAAACCCAGTTTAGCAGCAAATTGCTAAAATCCAATAAAAACCACAGCATAATTAATAAGAGGCAAGCATAATAACTATTGATCACTAAAACAAAACCCTAACAGCAAAATTAATAAAATGCCTTCCAAAGAGGCTGGGGGCACTTTCAGTCATCTCTAAATTCCATTACAAGGGCCCCGGTCACACGGAGAATTTGCCACGCGAAAGACACGAATGTCGGGCGATTTTCGGGGAACGATCACACCGCAACAACTGGGAAGCGTAGCGCACCTGTGGCCAACCTGTGGCGTCCCGCTGAAGATGTGGAGTTAAAAAGTACCAAGGAAAGTGCACTAGTATCCAGAAAACGTGCGGCACAGGCGGGCATCTGATCGTGGGAGCACTAGTATCCCATGGCATCCGGCGCCCGTCCACATCCCATTGCACACCGGATGTTTTTCGTAACCGCATGCGCACAAACACGAAACTGAAAGCAGTGCTGCTCTGCAGAACTGCGCATGCACGCAAACACGAAACACTTGTGTGATTGTGCCGTGCCACTTCTTTGCCATGCTGCAGCATCGCCATGTGATTTATACTACATTTCTGGACATTTATTGTGGTCTTCTAAATTAACTACAGTAGAACTTAAATTACAAATAAGCTCAGAGAAAATCACGAATTGTGATTTTGTTAGGAAGGCCATCTGACAGATCTTCAAAGTAAGTTCAGTTTCAGTAGCAGCAAGTCATATATACCAATTAAAGTGAAATGTAGCGATTATTGCTGCCCAAATTGTTTGTGATATTTATTTATTTAATTCATTTGTACCCTGCTTTTCTCCCCGATGGAGACACAAGGTAGCTTACATCATTCTTCTCTCCTCCATTTTATCCTCACAACAACCCTGTTAGGTAGGTTAGTTTGAGAAACTGTGGCTGGTCCAAGGTCACCCACTGATCTTCTATGGCACAAGTGGAGATTCAAACCTGGGTCTCCCAGATACTAGTCTTAACCACTACCTGATACAGGCTCCCTCATATTTTGTAATCCACCTTGAGTCTCAGTGAGAAAGACAGGCTACAAATGAACTAACTAAATAAGATATCTAAAAATACAAATGCTTTCTAGTCCAATAGTTTTTCATAGCTGTAGGGCTTTGGATGCAGGGCTTTCCTATTTGTTTCGAGGGAGAAGGGAAATATTTTAATACAGTACTTGGAAATGAAGATGGCACCTTGCTAGTGTTCTTTTTCTGAACTGAGGTGAATTAGTATCTTCCAAGGCTTTACACAGTCATTAGCACAGCAGTGCATTACAAAGAGTAGCCATGGCAACACTACTGCATAAGACTTAAAACTTTATTATCCACAGCACTATGGGAAAGATCCCGATTCAGTCATCTCTCTCTCCTGTCACTCTACTGTTCTTCCTTTTCATTTCTTAACTAAAAACTGTCATTCTGTCTATATTAGGGTTGCCAGTCCCCAGGTTTGGGTGGAGAATCTCCCGGTTTTGCCCATCACCAGCCAGCTGGCTGGTGGGGGAAACTCCACACCATGCTGTCAGAAGTGACATCCTCGTGTCTGTCAGGGCTGCTCCACTTCTCCTGATCCTCTTCTCCAGCCCACTCTCTCTTCTACAGGAAGAGAAGTAAAGGGGTGGGCCCGTTGGTCCATTTCCTCCCTGGCTGTCCTTTGAGGCTCTCCCTTTATTCCCTCATTCTGGTCCTCATTCGGTCCCCATCCCATCCATCCCCTGAGTCCCCCTTCCCTTGGCAGATCCCTGACAAGTTCCAATGCCAGCATCCCCCCCCCACAACCCGTCCTCACTCTCCCTTGCTGACAGGCCCGACACCTCCGCATTTGCTTCCTGCCAGTCTCCTCATTGGCTTGCTGCTTTCACCGCTGCTCCCTGTACCCAGCATGATACAGTGGTTCTGGTGGTCCTCCTGCTCTTTGCCACCACCTGCCAAGCTCCCAGCCTTGCCCGCAATCTCCACTGCCATCTTCCTCACTCCGGGGCTGTCTTCCATGCTCCCAGCCTTGCTCCTTGCTCCCAGGCTCAGACCTCAGTGACTGGTCTTCGAGCCAGGCCCTCTGATTTGGCTTCTTGGCTGGTCGCTCTGAAGGGGGCTGGAGGATGATGGGTCCCCCACCGCCCCCATGCAATAACATCACTTCTGGGTGACATCAGCACATTGGGGATGTCCCCGCCCACTCCCGGAACACCCCCCAAATCTCCCCCACTGGCATGACAAAGGGACCTGGCAACTCTAATTTATATTCAGACAGTCAACATTCAGACATCAGACCAACTGACTAAACCCTGGTTAGCTGTGACATCAGAATGCAGACAGTCTAACAAATCAGGGTTTGTTGGTTGGATTTCAAACTAGAATTTGCAGCTTGTTTGTTAATCACAGTTTAAATTAATCATCTGAATGCACAGACTAAAGTCTGCTGATTAGCTGTGCCTCTCATTACCACCTGGACACAGGGAAGGCAGTGGAGGCAGCATACAAACCAGGGGGTGGGTCCAGTGAGCTTCTTCACTCAATTTCACCTAATTCCCCTCCTTACTATAGCCCCCACATCCTATGTGACTTTTGCCCATGCACGTCTCATGATCTCTCGCATAGCCTTTTTTGGTGATCAAAGGGGGCCCTCTCTTCCCTTTTTCTCCAGCGAAAAACCTGGTTGGATCCAAAACAAGATTTACACAGAAATCTGGATTTGTAACTTATATCTAGTAGATTTAGCAGAATTTGCTACACAAACTGTGATTTGAATAAACCATAATTTATTGTATTACTTATTTAGAAAAGTTTTATGCTACCTCTCAAGAAATCTTTCTGAGGTGGCTTACAAAATAAAAAATAATAAAACAAAACAATAAAAGACATTAATTAAAATCCAGTGTTAAAAACCTAGCCCAGTTTTAAAACACAGACCGTAGGAATGGTGGGCTGGACAATATGGGAGGAGGTGGTCCTGTAATGTCTGAAGGTAGTACCATTGTGGATCACATTGGTAGACTTATTTATTCCTTTAAAATTGAATATGCCCTCTCAGTTCATTGAATAAACCCTCTCAGTCACATATTCCCAAAGCGGGTTTCAAAGAGACAACCCAACACAATGGTAAAAACAGCCAACACAATAAAAAAAATCACAATGGTCAAAAGTGCAATATATTAGTCCATTGCAATTATGGGATTACTATCCCATTTTAATTATGGCCAATTCAGCATATGAAGAATATCAGTAAAAGTCTTATCTTACCTTGTTATAGTACTGCACTTGAACAGAGTGCCATAGTCCATCACTAACTCCTCCTGGAACGAATGGTGAAACAGTTGTAGTGGTTTCTCCTGGAAAAATTACATGCAGAAGCTCTCAGAAAGCATGCATTTCCATTTTAGGTGACTGACTTTTAGAGGAAAATGAAATGAACATTTAATATTCCTTGTGCTTTTTTATTCTGTTTTTTCTCACAGGGGCTTAAGGCAGAATACCTTTTCCCTGTTTGATCCTTACAACAAACCCTGTAAGGCGTGGGACCAGCATACCAAGGACTGCCTACTCCCATATGAAGCTACCTAAGCACTCCAGTCATCTTCAGAGGCCCCGCTTTGGGTGCCCCAGAGGCTATCTGAGGCTAAACAGGTGGCAACCCGAGAAACTGACTTCTTGGTCATGGCGCCAAAGCTCTGGAACTCCCTCCGTAGGGAGATTTGTCTATTGTTCTCCATTTGTCATCTTCCACCAGTAGGTGAAGACATTTTTGTTTTATTTGGCTTCCTCTTACTAATTCTTATTAGCCCTCCTCCCTGTTTGCAATGTATTTATGTGTTTCTATGCTGTATTTCTTTTAAATATTATATATATACACACACATACACACCACACACACATACATACATGCTGTTTTACTGAATGAAATGTTCGCCAACTTGGGGACCCTGAGTTGGGTGGAAAGGCAGCATAGAAATGTCTTAATTGTGATAGGTACATTAGGTTGAGAGAGACAGTGACTGACCTAAAGTTGCTTCATGGCAGTGAGCTTCATGGCAGAGTGATGATTTGAACCCAGATCTCCCAGAAGGTCCTTTACCTGTGGGTACTTTTAGCATTTTGAGAGCAAGTCATGGATGCTACCACAAAATGGCTCCTGTAGAGGCTGCAACCAATCAGAAAATGTTGGGAAGTTCAAGCCAAGTGTCCTTCTAAAATGGAGGCAGCCATTTTCAATCAGCTACTTCCTGCAAACGCAATGGCAATGATGCTTCTTAAGCTCTACTAAAGCACTACCTGCTTCAGTAAGGTGGAAGAAAACTAAGATTTGCTCTTTTCTTTGTAAAAGAGATACTTTGAGAAAGAAGGAAGCAAGCACCAGTGCCATGGACATCATATTGGGGCTCAATCCTCTAGTTGGGCCATCTAACCACTACACTGCTTCTCTGTATATTATAACCTTCTCCATACTGTCCTAAACACACTAAGAACAGGAGGGGGAAGATTTGTGCCTACTTTCAGTTGAGGGACAGTGAGGTGGATGGGTCAAGCCTGATGTAACATGTACATTGCTGCTAATATTAACATCAACATATTATCTCCAACAACACTGAAATCCTAGCATCACTTAGATACCCTTTCAGATGAAAGACAAAAACCATCAGCTCTGAACTGGACTATGCAAACTAATATGCAAACTACATCTATTGCATGCATACAAATACATTAGCATCCTACATTTCTAATGTGTCTTAGTGCTGAAGCAGTCAGAGTCCTCAAAACTTAGCAAAAATAAGAATAAAATACAGTTTTCTGGAAAAAATGTAAAAGCAAATGTTTCTGGCAAACAATTATAGTGAAAACAGTTGTTACCCTGGCAAAAAAAATGTGCCTTTCTGAGGTTTTGTCTTGCAAGCTGGAATCTTACAGGGCTATCAGATAAGAAGCAGAAGAACAAAGAAAACATTTTTCTTCCCAGAAAATTGCAGAAGTTCTAACCATACAAATAACGACATTGCTTCCTTTCTTTAAACAATATTTTTAAAGATTGGATTTGATCAAGCTGAAAGTGTCAGATTAGTTACTGAGACCAGTATAAGCAGCCCAGTGACTTACTCACTGCTGTTCCTAAGTTTTAACAAAACAAATATCTACTGCAAAAGCACACAGGGGTCTGTCATGCTGAACAGGCTGCGTGGACAACTTGGATAAAAGTTCCCATCACAGAAGAATAAGAGAACGACCCCCCCCAAAAAAACCCCAAAGATTAAGAACAATTCAGCCTGTATTAAGCTATTATATACCTCTGTCTGTGTTCATGCCAACTGTTACTACACTTCAATACACACACCTGCACCGTTCATATACAGAGGCATTACATACAAATATGGACTCTTTAAAGATGTCTATGTTTATTTCTGCATTGTTTATGTAAATGTTACAGGAGTACAGGTCTTCTATTCCTTGTGCAAGAATATTACTCCCGCCTCAGAAAGTATATAATTCCTTATACTGCAGGACACCTAAAAATCATATTCTACTAACTGATCACGACATGTATACAGTTTTTAATTCAGATAATAGTGCCTGTACAAACTTTGATATTTAAAGACAGTGCACTTCCTCATGTTGCCCACAATGACCATTCAAAATGCTCACTAACTGCTTGGCTGCCAAAATTCCCCTGAACTCTGAAACATTCCACTTAAGCCCCTGTACAAATGGAGACCATTCACACATTCAGCAATGGCCTCATGACATTGTGTGATCACCTAGGGATCCTAGTTTATATATTTTGCCCAAAGGGAAAGGAACAAAAACATAATGGCTCCCAATCAGCTCTCGTTAGTCGCTTAATAAATTGCATGTAACTATTAATGGCTTCAGATGGGCATGCAGCTCTCACCAATCACTTCAAAAGAATTCAAGCAGTTCTGTGGGGTCTAGATGAACAATATGATGTGGGCAAACACACCTGAACATACTCACACATAAGAAGTGCCCTTATCCTGAGTCAGGCCTTTGGTCTCTCAAGGTTAGCACTACCTATTCTGACTGGCAGCTGTCCAAGGGGTCTGGTAGAGTTCCTTCCACATCACCTGATCCTCTTTAAATGGAGATGCCAGGGAATGAACCTGGGACCATCTGCATGCAAAGCAGATGCTCTGTGCTTGATTGACAGTAGCCTTGGCCCTTTTAAAGGGGGGGAAGTTTTCACAGATATGGGTTTTTTGTAAAGCAAACTATGCTATTAATCAAGCAAACGTACAGGCCCAGTTTCATATCTCAAAGAGTTTGAAATTAAACAATCACACTGCTTTCCTGGCGGTATCCTGGATTGAACAACTTTTTGCCAACAGTGTCTGGCTAGACCGGAATAAAAATAAGACAAGCACCTTCCTCTTGCATCACAGCTTCTCTTTCCCAGTACCTCTCCTTGTCAAGATAAAATGTGCTGAAGGTTAACAGACACCAACACGTGCATGGTAGCATCTACATAGAAATCAGCTCTGGCCACTATACATTATAGGTTGATTTGCAATTAGACTTAGCAAATATAGAAAGCATTGCTTTGGGCCAAATGCTTTACATCTAATTACATCTCTTGCATGGAAGTGCAAGCAAGTGCATTCAAGGACCTGAATCTTCGCTTTCTAAACTTCCTGTGACTCATTCCATGATGCTTGATTCAGTCAGGTCAAATTTTTGAGCTTAATGGTGCAATCCTATGCAGAATTACCCCCGCCTAAGTGTACGGAAACCAATGGGTTTATTTATTTAAAACATTTCTGCACTGCCTTTCTATCAAAAAATGGTCCCCAAGGTGGTGATCAAAATATTGAAACATTTCAACATTAACACAACATTTAAAATAATCTATATATCTAATTCTCAAGTCGCCCCCTGGTGTGCGGATACTTAAATCCGCACATCGGGGGGACCTGGGGGGGAGGGAAAGGTTTGTGCGCACGTGGGGCGGTCCCCACGTGTGCACAAAAATCCTAAACCTGGAAAATAACATCGGGGGATGTTTAAATCCCCCCGAAACTCACAGAGCGTCCCCTGCGCATGCGCAGGGAACGCTCTGCGACCGCCGCCGCCTGGAAGGTG